GAAGATGCACCCAAAAAATGGACTTCCTCGTTCTAAAAATTATGACTGTTTATACCTAAACAAAACAGACGTCATGTTTTATGATTATTGTTCCTATACTTTGAATGCCTTACCTTTTAGAGCAAAATGTTTCACTTACTTCCCCTCACCCATCCCACTGCTGTAAAACTCCTTCCATAATAAATACGCATGACTTCTGGCCATCAGGGCTGCAGTCCGGAGTGTACTCTGGCTGTAGCCGGCTAAGAACATGCTAAGGGCATGAGGTCTTAGTCTGATTCCTGTTCACCCGCATTGCCTCCCTGTGCACCCACCCCGGCTGGGGTACAGCTCCCGGCAATTTCCCTCTCATTGTTTCTCTCTATCATTCTCTGCTGAGCATAGGCACCCTATGGCAAAAACCTTGGAAAAAAAAAAAAGAAAGGGAGGGAGGGAGGGAAGAAGAAAGGAATCCTTCCTACTTACTGTATGTAGAAATTCAATACTTGGAAACTATTCAGCATTTATCGCTAAGGTTAGAATACGTTCCCCAGAAATACACCTTGGGACTTAATTCCACTAACTGTACTACAAAAGTATTAGGAGAAAATTCCGTTGCGTCATGGTGCCCTAGGGGTGAGGCTCATGCTGATGACAGCATGGAGGCAACACCCTCAGGAACAAATTAATGTCATCTCAGCAGACTCAGCCAGCTTTAACTCTCGCGAGAAGAGATCAGCTCTCGAGGCCGGCTGCTACAAGAGCAAGTACTCATTCTCTCTTTGTGACCCACCAGCCTCTGCTTCCACTGGCCGCCACAGGCCGAGGACTGGGCTTTCTAGCCAACAGAATCATGAGTCTGTAAATAAATGTCTGTCGTCTTTAGGAAATCACCCAGCCTCAGCTATGTCTACTAGCGAGGTAAAATGGACCAAGATACTTATCTACGGCAAGCACATTTTACCATTTCAGCGTAACCCAACAATGATGAAGTAGCATTTGCTGAATTTTTCTCAACTTGAAACCATGAACTTTTTTATTCTTCAGCACTCTAGCAAAATTAATTTCTCTTTTACACTATATGTAAACATAAATATGAGGGCATTATTTTCTTTCTTTTTTTTTTTTTTGAGAGGTTTTTGCTATAGGGCACGTGCGCTCGCCAGACAGAGAGAGACAGAGAGATAGAAAGCGAGAAATCATCCCCGGGGGGGTGGGCACGCCACAATCCCTTCTCCTCCATTCTCCTCTCGGGATCTTGGGCACGCACGCACACGCGCCCAGCGTGAGTTTAAGCCACCAGGTCCGGGACTCGAACCGTGGTCGACTATGTGGGAGTCCAGCGACATAGCCATTACGCTAACTGCTGGTCCCAATATGAGGGCATTCTTAAGAAATGAATTTAAGAGGCCAACAGATGGCATAGTGATTAAAGTGCTGGCCTCCCATACAGTTCGAGTCCCAGACCCAGTGGCATGAAATACAATAGGTTCGTGTATGTGCATGCCCAAAATCCCAGGAGAAGAATGGAGGAGAAGGGATTGCAGAGTGGCCATCCCCCCAGAGGGTGCTTTCTCACTTTCTCTATCTCTGTTGTTTTCTGTGTCTCCAGTTAGCACATGTGCCCTATAGCAAAAATCTCTCTTAGAAATAAAAAAAAAGAAAGAAAGAAATGAATTTAAAAAACAGCGAGAACATTAAAAGGTAAAGACTAAGGTGAGGAATAAAGTAGTATTCTTTCCACCATCTGATTATATGGTATACAAAGAAATACGATTCGTATACCTAACCTTAACTCTTTGTGCCCCATAACATTACTTTTGTTTTGAAGTTTACTTATTCCTTGGAAGGGAGGCTGGTGGGAGGAAGGAAGAGACAGCGACCTGACGCTGTGACCTATACCTCGGCCCCCGTCAGCCAGGAGCACCCCTGGTGGGTTCGGGTGACCCAGGAACCACACCCAGGGTCCACCCACGTGCTCCTGAACTGCACAGCCGTGCCCCGCCACCTGTGTTGCCTGGGCTGGGCCGAACTTGCGTATATGCCAACACATCCTGCACAAGTTTGCATTCAAAATGCCAAAATTTACACTAAAAAGTAAGTGAACTTGGGACCAGCAGTTGGCGTAATGGCTATGTCGCTGGACTCCCATGTAGTCGACCGCGGTTTGAGTCCCGGACCCGGTGGCTTAAACTCACGCCGGGCGCGTGTGCGTGCGTGCCCAAGATCCTGAGAGGAGAACGGAGGAGAAGGGATTGCGGCATGGCCATCCCCCCTGGGGGGTGATTTCCTGCTTTCTATCTCTCTGTCTCTCTCTGTCTGTCTGGCGAGCGCACGCGCCCTATAGCAAAAACCTCTCCAAAAAAAAAAAAAGAAAAGTAAGTGAACTTCACAAATAATTTGCTGTTTTTACATGTTTATGCACAAAAAGACTCCAGAGATGTAAGAACGCTGTGCTGTCCCTGGATGGTGAGTCTCCCGGCCATCTGAGAGAAGCATCTTAAGGTCTCTCAAAACAGACATGCTTCTGTGTTTTAGAGCTGCCTTTATTTCTAAATCAATCTTAATACCCTCACAGAATCTGTGAACTGGCAGGACGTTTCATATCCCCCTCAGAAAACCAACTATTTACACCAGACGCAAAAGATGAAATAGCCCACTGCGTCCAAGATGAAATAACCCACTGCATCCAAGATGTTTCATTGTGTCTGCCCTTCAAAGTCGGCACAGAACACTCTGTTTCGAGCACAGGGGCGAAGCTGCTCTCCTGAGAGGAGAGGATGACCAGCACTCCCCTTCGAACTGTCCTTAGTCCTGCTCTCAGGCACAGAGTCCTCACCGTCGGGGTGAGCAGTCTCTTTACGCCGAGCTCTATAGCGCAGGATGGTTTCCGAATTGACTACGAGAAACCATTTTTCACTCTCTTTGGATATCCAATGGAGAAAAGAAGTGAAGAGTAAGAATGCAGGAGGATCCCAACCACGGGAAACGTCTCTTTATCTTATTGCGTGAAGAAGCAGGCACTGCACCACACCAGTCCTGGCGTGCAGGATTTTGAGGTCACAGAATTTTAACTTAAAAGAAGTGTCAGTCGGATGTGCCACTTCCCAGGGGCACGGTCTCACCTGATTGAGGGAGGTGGCATCTGTCAGCACGGCGTCGGGAGGTCTGTTAGGTACGGCTACAGCTTCCTAAGGTCAAAACACATCAGATGTTAAGTTTTAAAAATGAATTTCTTATTCTCTTTACCCAAACTGGCATTTGGTAAACAATCATGTTTCAATATAAAGAAACCCTGTGAAATAGCTAAAAAGATTCTTTTTTAAATATTGGGTCATTGGAAAAGTCATGACATGTTTTTCTGATTTTCTATGTAAAAACGCATCATGAATCTTCCGATAACCCAGGATTTCGTGTTTGGGAGATAAAGAAAGACACTCACAATTTTATAACCTCCAGCTTTCAAATACATTGAGTTCCCTGAAATGAGCCTTTATAAATAAGGAACTATACACTCAGATCAGTACTCCAGGTGACAAAAGGACAGTTTTTCCCTAGGTAAAAGATGATGACAACTGCAAGAATTCGGCACCTGGGGCAGCCCTGATGCTCAGTGAAGAGCTGTGCAGAGGCAGCTGGATTCCACATGGCCACCCAGGGTTCGCATTTCAGCCTCTGTGGATAGAAACAGACACACAGGCCCATGTACCCATGTGCCCAGGTTCCTGGCGAGACGGAGAACTGGAGGAAATAGGACTACGTGTGAGTAAACCCTGACAGAGGGCGTTTTCTTTTTCTTTTCTTTTCCTTATTTTTTAATTTGCTATAGGGAACAAGCACTTGCTGGAGAGACATAGGGAAAGCACCCCCCTCTGGGGAGATGGCCATGCCACAATCCCTTCTCCTCCATTCTCCACCCAGGATTTTGGACATGCATGCATACATGCCCAACATGTTTTACAAGCCACTGGGTCTGGGACTTGAACTGCATAGTTGGCCATGTGGAATCCAGCTGCCTCAACCACCAACCAGCCACCTGCCAGCCCCACAGGGGCCTTTTTCTCTTTCAGTTGCGTGTGCATTTTCTGGCATATAAATAAATAGACAGACAGACAGATAAATAAAAAAAAAAACTGTTGAAAAAAGAATTAGACACACAATTCATATCTCAATTGATATAGTTTTTTAAATTGGTCTTTAAAACTCCTCCATATGGGGCCAGCAGGTGATGGAGTGGTTAAGGTGCTGGACTCTCACGTGGCTGACTGCAGTTTGAGTTCTGAATGTGGTGGTTTGAAAATCACACCAGGTATGTGTGTGTGTGTGTACCCAAAATCGCAGGTGGAGAATTTAAAAAGGACGAGCAGGTCCTATTCTGGGAGCCTCTGCAGGGCCCTGTGTGCTGCACATGTTCTACCTGGGCAGAGCTTCTACCATCCTGAGCTGAGGCAGGAAGGGCGCAGGTTACGGCCCAAATGCCACAGATTTTCACTGTTCCTACCAAAATAAAGATTTTCTTGAATCAATGTTTCTTTATCAGTTTCTTTATCAGAAATTTTAAATGGTTCTTTTTCATGTCTTCTTAGGTCTGGTTTGTTTGCTAGGAAAGGTGCAAGAAGTACCTTATAACACCATTTGAAAGTCATCTTTCCACATAGCACTAATACTTTATTCACTACAGAAGAATTCTTTTTTTTTTTGGAGAGGTTTTTTTGCTATAGGGTACGTGCACTTGCCAGACAGGCAGAGAGAGACATAGAGACAGAAAGCGAGAAATCATCCCCCCAGGGGGGATGGTCACACCGCAATCCCTTCTCCTCCATTCTCCTCTTGGGATCTTGGGCACGCACGCACAGGCGCCCAGCGTGAGTTTTAAGCCACCAGGTCCGGGACGCAAACCGTGGTTGACTACGTGGGAGTCCAGCGACATAGCCATTACGCTAACTGCTGGTTCCCTACTACAGAAGAATATTAACCACAGGGGACCGACAGGTGGCATCGTGGTTAAGGTGCTGGACACTCCCACATGGCTGACCATGGTTCAAGTCTTGGACCTGGTGGCTTGCTTTCTCACTTTCCCTCTCTCTCTACCTGTGTGGTGTGTGTGTCTTGTCAAATCAAAATAAATAAGTAAAATTAAATAATTCTTTAAAAAAAAGAAGAATATTAACCACAGTATAACATGATAACCTCAAATAGCTTAGAAGTAGAGACCATGTTACATTAATATAAAATCCAAATTACAAAATATTTTTAGAAAAAATATGGCTTTTTTGGTTTTAAATAATCATTTATTTAATTTCACTCATCATTATTATTTTCAATTTGCTCTAGGGCACACACACTTGCGGGGGGTAGGGGGGAGTAAGAAAGCAAGCCACTGGGTCCAGGACTCAAACCATAGTCGACCATGTGGGAGTCCAGCACCCCAAACACCATGCCACCTGCTGGCTCCAGAAAAATAAGTTTTTAGAATTGAGGAACTAAAGAGTAACAAAAGTTGTCTTACATAAGTGTATGACTTACATCATTGCGTGAACGAATGAATGTTTTCATCTGTATTTGTGTCAGCTTTTGGTAAAACTGTTGGACACTACAAAGGTTGTACAAGAAAGTAACGGATATTCCCATAATCATCCTCCTCAGCAAGATCCTTCTACATATAAAAAGTTATATACAAAGTATATAAACACTTCGAATCAAGGAAAAAGTCCAGTTCAAAGAAGTATGCATTAGTCGATGTCAACTCTAAATTGCACATTGAGGGACCAGCAGATGATGTAATGGTTACATCACTAGACTCCCACAAAATTGACCATGAGTCCCAGATCCAGCAACTTAAAACTCACACAGGGCGTGTGCGTGCACTGCCGAAATCTCAGGAGGAAAATGGAGAAGGGATTGCGGCATGGCCATCGCACATGCCCTATAGTAAAAATTTAAGATAGATAAATTTAAAAATAATAAGTTGCATATTTGATGATATGAAAAGGTCTAAATACATGTTAGAACCCTTAACTTCATGTTCTTTTTGCTTATAAAGATGGCCTACCTTGATTTTGCCCGATGTCCGTTTTCCCCCAAAACCTCCAGAGCCAACCAGGAAGATAGAGAACTGATTATAGCATATAAGCTCCTTCCCAAAATAAGAATGTACTGAAAATTAAATTAAAAAAAAAATTAATATCAAAAGACATAACTAGTGAACCAAGATATGTTCAACAATTCCTTTAAAAGTTTCAAATACAAAACCTAATTACTGAAAGGATTCTGTAATTCATAGACACCTAAGTATGGATTTTAAGGATACATTTTAAGGCAGCCACTATCAGTGGCTGAATGACAGACAGAAGAAGAACTTCATAAATCCTTTCTTAATTATGAAATGGCAGTTTCTCTCACTTTTCTAAACCGTTCCAACTCCCATTCAAATTTCAATTTTTTCCATTTCTTTTTTGCTTGTTTTGTGTTTTGTCATAGGGCATGTGCACTCGCCAGAGAGAGAGAGAAAGTGAAAAATCACCCACTGGGAGGATGGCCACACTGCAATCCCTTCTCCATTCTCCTCTTGGGATTTTAGGCACACACATAGCTGTGCCTGACATGATTTTCAAGCTACTGGGTCCAGGACTCGAACTCTGGTCGGCCATCTGGCAGCCCAGCACCTTAACCACCACATCACCTGCTGCTCCCTAATTCTTTCCATTTCAAACAATCCCACTAGAAAGTGTAGGAGCCCGTGCTCAAGCTCTCACACATCCTACCACGGTGCTCCAGAACGTGGACTGGAAAGAGGCAACAGCGGAATGAAGACCTAAGTCCCACAGGCAGCATCGCGGCTGTTCCTCACTCTTCCAAGCAATCAGAACAGTACCCAAAGAGCAAATAAGTACCCAAAAAACTAATAAGTATCTATTACATTAATTAATCAATGAATAAACCATGAGTGAGCAAATTAGCAAATAGAGTGAATAAGACAGCTGTCCCTCTACTTACAGACTGAGTGATTACGAAGTTTGAGTGCTATTTGCATATCTAGCTCTAGAAAATCAGAATAAGATTTTAATTTGTATACTAGAGAAAAATCTAATTGAAACAATAATAAGGAAAATATGGAAATCCGTACTTAATATAAGATTTTTCTATTTATTATACAAGAAATTGGACACTAATGTCATCTATTCAGTTGTTGAGAAAGTCATGACACATTTTCACATAGAAAATACATAGAAAACCCATAGAAAAATACATCAGGACTTTTCCAATGACCCAATATATACTTTACCCACAAATCCTAATACCCTGTGCATGACCTGTCACCAAGCTGTAGTTGAACAAATGGAGTAGGGCAACAAGTGACAGTAAAAGGAAAGCAGGTGACTGCAGGACTTCTGTGCTAAGTTACACCTGGTACAATGGTGAAAAGACTTTAAAAAAACTGGCGGAAATGTAGCCAAAGACTAGGTCGTCAGAAAAGTCATGACACATTTTTGCACAGAAAAACATACGAAAATACGGTGGACTTTTCCGATGACCCAATATTTCCCAGCACGTGGAATGACAAGTATGAAAATCTAAAAAATAAAGACGGGGTGGAGAAAGAAAGAGAAAGAAAAAAAGGAGACACCGAAGAGAGAACATACATAGTATTTAAGAGTATCAAAAATATTCTCAATGTATCATTAAGTAAAAACAAAGCAAGTGGGACCAGCAGATGGTGTAATGGTTACATCACTGGACTCCTATGGAGTCAACTGTGGTTTGAGTCCCAGACCCAGCAGCTTAAAACATGCTGGGTGTGTGTGTGTGGATGCCCAAAATCCCAAGAGGAGAATAGAAGAGCAGGGATGCAGAGTGGCCATCCCTCCAGAAGGGTGATTTCTCGCTTTCTGTCTCTGTCTCTCTGGCAAATACACACACCTTATAATGGAGGGGGAAAAAAAAAAAAAGCAAGTTCCAAAACAGCATTTAGAGTATAACCTCCTATATATTATACACAACAAAACAATGTAAACTTTTCCACTTAATTATTTCCAGAAATTTTAACAACGAATATCAAATTATTTTGTTCTTAAACTTTAAGGTAAGTAAAAGGTTTATGTTTAATTATTAGTATTTTAAGATTAAACTACTATAATCTTTTTACCCCACTACAAATAAAATGTGGCTATTGTGTTTAAACTTCTTTTATGAGTTCAATAGGCTTAAATACACAAATCTAGGAACACAACTACCATCTATAAGAGAGATTCTGTGGCCAGGGCCAGCAGGTGGCATGGTTGTTGAGGCACTGGACTCCCATGAGGCTAACCATGGTCCAAGTCCCGACATGACAGCTTGAACATCATGCTGGGCACGTGGGCATGCATGCCCAAAATCCCACAAGAGAAGGAACTATGGCATGGCCATCCCCTCTGGGGGTTTATGTCTCAGTTTCTCTCTCTCTGTCTCTCTAGTGAGAACACACACCCAATGAAAAAAAATCTTAAAAAAAAAATTCAATAGTTGAATACATTAAATTCCAAATAGCTAACAAAGAAAAGAATACCTTTACACAAGGCAGCCTAATTATCAGTCCAGGCTGTCATACCCCTGTCAGCCACAAGCATCCTCCTGCCCTGTAACTCTCCCCCGCGCTCACGAACCAGCCTGTTCCTCACGGCTGTGCCTTGGCCAACTTTCTTTAAGTCCACGGCAATGCCCCAACCCCCAGCCCGGGCCCCCACCTACTTCTTTCTCTCCCTCCTTCCTTATTTTTCTTAAAGAGCTTAAGAAGTTTTAAAAGCCTTATCTTCTGTTTTTATAAATTGAAAAACAAACTCAAAAGTTATTCATCAACTTTTCGGTGAAGTGTTATGCTGCTTACAAAGCACACAGATCTAAGGTGCTATTTTAAGAACTGTAAATGAATTACCGTCTATAAGAATGACTGCTCCAGATCCTTTATCTAGGATATCAGCAACAACCGCTTCACATCTTAATTTTCCTAAAATAAAAAGTAAAATAAATATATAGACTATTTTAGAGAACACAAATCATTACATGAAAACATGAGCGCATTTAGTAACATTCATTTCAACTTCAGCAAAACTAAAAGATTATACATGAGGTAATTGTTTTTCCTGAACTCACTAGAAAACAGTAATTTAACATTAAAAGCAATCAGAATATCTGAGTCATTAAATTTGAAAGATCAATATTTATGATAAATTATGCTTTTAAAAATAACCATATTCTTTCCTTCTTTTCCAATTGCTAAAGGGTACATGCACCCACCAGAGGCAGACGGAGAGAGAACGAGACAGAGGGTGAAAGCACCTCTCATCAGGAAGCGCCCACCACAACCCCATCTCTACTCCTCCATCCTGTTGAGATCTGGGGCATGCACCAGAGAGGTTTTCAAGCCAATGGGAACAGGATTTGAACCATGGTCAGCCATGTGGGATCTGGTTCCCCTAACCACTAGGCTAAGGGGCCAGCCCCTCCTCTTGGTCTCTTTTAAGTTTGTCTACAACAAATAGATGTTAAGAATATAACCAGTACCATTCACTCCACTCCTTCTCAAATCTCTACTCTACTGGTTCAATGAGACATTGTTTCTTTCTTTCTTTCTTTTTTCTTTGGGGGGGGAGGAGGGGGAGGTTTTTTGCTATAGGGCACATGTGCTTACCAGAAAGACAAGAGAGACAGAAAGCGAGAAATCACCCCCCAGGAGGGATGGCCACACCGCATTCCCTTCTCCTCCATTCTCCTCTCGGGATATTGGGCACACACGCACACGCACCAGCTACATGGGAGTTCAGCAACACAGCCATTACACCAACTGCTGGTCCCGAGACATTGTTTCTTTCTAACTATTGTTCTTTTATGGACTTCTTTAAAATGGACCCATTATTTAATTGGTGATGTCTTGGTAGATTATCACTGTCTAGGGGTGAACTTATCACCTTTCTCCCCAAATCCACTTTTCTCTTTTGTTCTCTGTATCCATGAATGGTACGAGCCACCCTGCAGCCAAGCCAAAAAACTTGAGCATTATCCCAGACATAAAATAGAATGACCATCTGGCAAGGCATGGCCGTGCAAAACTGGTCTGAAGTCGACGGAGAGCCATCGGGGGTCTTAAGTGGGGACACAGCAAGCACACTGCATTTTAGAAACAGCGTCCTGGCTGCGGTGAGGCGAACACGCCTGAGGAGAACAAGGGTACAGACAGAGCACTTAGAAGGCACGGATGAACAAAGGAAGAAACAAGAAGTGGAGATGGAGGTGGACAGAAATAGAAGGATTCTGGATGTATTTAAGGAAAGGGATCAAAGAACCCGGTGGCTGGACGGGAGGTGATACAGGAGAAGCCGAGCACTGCAAAGACGAGCCAGAGTGATGCTTTCCAAAATCCAGTCTGTCCATGTAAACCCCTCTGCTTAAAACCCTGCAGTGGATATCTGTCACCATTAGAACGAGATCCAAACTCCAGCCCTCTCACCTCACTTTTCTGACATTGCACCCTCCCCAACTCGCCCGTCCGGAACCTCGCCAGGGCGCTGTTCCCCTAACAGCCACAGCTTCACACAACTCTGCACAGGGGTTCCTCGGTCTGAAATTGTTGCAGCCCACTCCTCACAAGATGCACTGTTAATGCATCCTTCAGATCAGCTTAGAGCTCCTTTCCACCAAGAAGCCTTCCCCAACCCCAAGTTCGGTTCCAGGTTAGAGACCCGTGCCCCTGAGCCAATCTTACACTCATCCCGCCCTAAGGTACTGAGCGCGTTTATCGCTGCCCACCGCCTCTCAGACTCTAAGCTCTGTAAGAGCGAAGAACCCAAACAGGCATGTGCAAACATCAATCTACTCTAACAGTTACATGGCACAGTAAGTGGTGGTGTACTACTAGGTCACCCATGCCAGTTTAACACATGGGCACAGTTTGGAGGGTTGATCAGAGAACAAAGCTAAGACACGGAACGCGTGTTCGGGGACTCACCTGTTCTGGGCAGCGGTTTATGTAACTCCAAGTACTGCTCCCCATGAAGAACCTGCACCGGGGAAGCACAATCTTATCAGCAAACCTTCCGGTTCCACAGGCAGCGCCCATAGGGACAAGTGACATGCTACTGTTCACAGTCATGCCACAACTCTCCCCAAATGACCCGTTTGGCTTCAACTTCTTAATCATGTGATTCAGAAATAATCAGCCCTCCAATGTAAAGACACTCAAGCTCTTTTGGAGCAGAGAGAATATCTGTGTTCTTTCCTGGCATTCACAAATCCTTGCTGACTAATAATTATAGATTATTCGCTAATACAGATGCCAGGCTATATTCCTAGTGTTTATAATAGTACTGGAGGCATCTGCTAAATATTTCTTGAATAAAAATGAACAAATGGGCCAATGCTAGTAAGTAATTTCAGGTCACACATACCCAATACGAGTGACTCAAGTAAAACCGAAGAGAAATGCTACAGCCACATTCACATGTCCTCCACACATCTCCTCAGTGACCCCCACAGAGCAGAGACTGAGGACACTGTGCAGCTTGGCAGCCACGTGAGCTTGACGTGTCAGTGAGAAGACACCGATACACGCAGGAAAATCACAGGACAGCAGAACCGAGACCTTGTCCACCCCCAGACAGCTGTGGCGGCTTCCCTGTCTTCCCAGGGCAGAACCGAGACCTCGCCCACACCCAGACGATTATGCGGGCCACGGTACTGCGACTTCCCTGTCTTCCCAGGGCTGATGGGCAGCTCAATTAAAGCAGCCCTGTCTCATTGTCATAAAGACTGGAAACTCAAGGTGGGACAACTGGGATCCAAAGCCAAGATGGCTGTCACTCTGGGCCACAGAACATGAACACCATTTGTGAGTTCCAAAGCGAGAGGAACTGTTAAACATTTGTTTTCATTTTTCCCACTTACATTATCCAGACAGGAGCAGGCTGTGCAGAAAAAGCACAGGAGAGCGACTGAGGCTGCAAACAGGGTGTCCGGCACCTAGTTCTCCCCAGTTCATCAAACGCTCCAAGTCAGAGCAGCCGTGGGCCACGGAGCCACCAGAGGATGGGTTCTCACTCTGCCCGCCAGAGACCAGCTCAGAGCACTGAGATTCAACAACTATTGGCACGCTCGTAAGCTGAACCTCGACCTCAAGAAGTAAAATGTACCCTAACTCAAAAACGTCTTCACAGGTGTCCTCTCCTTCTTCTCTGAAATGCTGTGTCCATCTCGCTTCCCCACACCCCATTCTCCCGATGGTCCCCACGCCCCACCAGCCAGCCCTTCTCGGTCTCCAGTCATTTTCTCGGCATCTCTCCAACCTCTGAGCGCTGCAGAGCCCCACGCTCAAGCCTCTTCTCTACTCAGACTCGCACACTGGCTGATTTCATGCGGTCTCGAGTCTTTAAACAGCCCCAGACAGACCTCTGCAAACTCCAGACTCATACACTCACCTGCATTTTACATCACCACTGTAATGTGGTAACAGGTGTCTCAGACTTAACCCCACACCGACCTCAGAACAGTGCGTAATGACACGTATTTCTTATATCCCACGGTAGGTACATGCAGGTACATGTAGACATGTATCTCATCCCACTGTCCAGAATACACATCTTCGTACTTGACTTCCCTCCCCCGCAGCCCGCTGGCCTGGGCGGCCCTAACAGACCCTGACTGCTTCTCTACCCCCACACGCGGCTCCACACAGCAGCCAGGATCGTGAAGTAGAATTACACAGCCACTGTGCAGATAAGAAAGTGAAAGCCGAAAGAAGAGATCTAGCTCGGCAACTAGCAGTAAATGATAAAGGATTAATAATGCCATGCCAGGCGGAGGGGCTCTGCGTGGACTTTCTTCTTTTTTGCTACCATTTTAAATTAACTTTCCCTCTTTTATTCTTAAAAAGAAATAAACTGAAAGATATGCTAAATCCATATTCCTGCACCAACCACGATAAACACTCTATAGATACAGTTATTACACACACACGTACACGTAGGATGCGACATTTACCAACAAACATTTAGAGACATGGAAGTATAACAAAATAAAAGCGCTTTTTTTTTTTTTTTTACTAGCATACCTTTGCATAGTTGATTGAAAGCCCAGGAATCTCTGCTAATCCTCCGCCCATTATAGATTTCTGCGCTATGATAACTCCAAAGGTAGGCAAACAGGAGAAATCAGAACTTCCTTCGTAAATGAATTTTAAATCCTTGGGATCCTTGGCTGATGCCCCCACTCCAAGGGCGTACATAATAGCTTCCAGCTCCGTATACTCAGAGGAAAATGAAGGGAGTTTATGGCCAACAGCTCCAGCCTACAACAAGGGAAAGGAAAAATAATTTTTTCATTGATATTTTTATCAATTCTTTGACATTTTAACTTTTCACAACTCTTAAATGCTTACATACCTAGTTTGCTTTTGAAAAGATGTGAACAGGATGTCAGTGACTTTCATGGAGCCTAACTGTTTCAGAATATTTTATTTTTAAAAAACTAGAAACCAATTGGGGCGAACAAGTGGCACGGAGGGTGAGATGCTGGATTCCCACATGGACAACTACAGTGTGAGTCCTGGACCCAGCAGCTTGAAAATCACGCCAGGCAGGTACCAGCAGATGGTGTCATGGTTATGTCGCAGGCCTCCTAAATGGTCGACCGCGGCTCCAGGTCCAGACCCAGCAGCTCAAACTCACACCAGGCACATGTGCCCAAAATCCTGAGAGGAGAAGGGATTGCACATGGCCATTACCCTGGGGGATGATTTCTCGCTTTCTGTCTGTCTCTCCGGTACGCACACATAAAATAAAATAGTGAAAATCATGCTGGGCACATGTGCACGCAGGTCCAAAATTCCAAAAGGAGAATGGAGAAGGGACTGCAGCATGGCCATCCTCCCTGGGGAGTGATTTCTCACTTTCCCTCTCATTGTCTTTCTCTGGTAAGCATGCAAGCCTTATGGTAAAAAATCAAGGAAGGAAGGAAGGAAGGAAGGAAGGAAGGAAGGAAGGGAGAAAGGAAGGAGGGAGGAAGGAGAAAGAAAGGAAGAAAGGAAGGAAGGAAGGAAGGAAGGAAGGAAGGAAGGAAGGAAGGAGAAAGGAAGAAAGGAAGGAAGGAAGGAAGAAAGGGAGGAAAAGGAAAGGAAAGGAAAGGAAAGGAAAGGAATAAAGGAAGAAAGGAAGGAAGGAAAAGAAGGAAGGAAGGAAGGAAGGAAGGAAGGAAGGAAGGGAAAGGAAAGGAAGAAAGAAAGGAAGGAAGGAAGGAAGGGAGAGAAACCAATTAGATGATGTGTAGAAAAGGACTTCACTTATAGATAAGTACTTTTGTTATTTTTTTAAAGAATTATTTTATTTAATTTTATCCGCTTATTATTATTATTTAATTTGATCAGAGAAAGATAGCGAGAGAGAGAGAGGGAGCATGAGAAGGCAAGCTGCCAGGTCCAGGACTTGAACCACAGTCGGCCATGTGGGAGTCCAGCACCTCAACCACCACGCAGTCTACTGGCCCCATGTACTTTTGTTTTAATTTGCCATAGGATGTTTACACTCACTGGGGAGAGAGAGAGAGAGAAAGAGGGAGGAAATACCACCCATGGGTATGGGTCATGGTCACCCCACCATCCCTTCTGCCCCACCCCTCCCTCCTTTCAGGGTTTTGGTATTTATGCAGGCATGCCTAGCATGTTTTTCAAGCCAACAGGTCCAGAACTCAAACCACACCACCACGTGGGATCCAGCCATGACACCTCCACAGCACGGGCAGCTCGACCCATGCTTTTTTATCCCTTGCTTCTTACCAATAGGTAGAATGTCTCATTTTCAACTCCCCTGTTCCTGGTAGTGCAACGTCATATTGAGACAGGGTAAAAAGTGGGAGACAGAAACTAGGCCAACCTTGAGAACAGAACTTCACAGACATGACGACTGAGACAAGAAACTGGGGAAAGGGGGTTACCAGGAACCAGCACAGCCCCAACACTTCCCAGGGAAAAGAAATCAAGGACTGCTGTGAATCCATCATAAACGTTCTCTGAATTGTAAGTCGTCACATCGTCTCTGCCTCTGCGTCTCGCCCTTGTTAGAGACTACAGAGAGTGAGAGAGTGACCACATCGGAAACCGAGGGAGGCCAGGGAGGGGAGGGGAGGACAGGGAGAGCACCCTCCAGAGAAGGCCAAGGCCCGAAGAGTTCTTCCCACTTACAAATCCTGATGTGGCCGACGCTGCGTGACTGGTACGATTTGGAGAAACTCCTCCTTCTGAATCTACTTTACTCAGAACTTCGACTATACTGGCAGTTGATTCTAGCATTCAATAAAAATAAGAAAGAAACACAGAAAATTGGTTAAAGTTGTGACTAAGAAGAATAAAGCTACGATATACTAAATATTGGGTCATCGGAAAAGTCCTTCATATTTTCTTTGCAAAAATGCATCGTGACTTTTCTGACTACCCAGTAAATATCCCTGTAACATCCAACACGCCTGCTACCGACACCTCCACCGTCACTCACAAACAGAATGTAGGTACTGGGCTGATGTAACACACACTGCGAGACTGGAAGGAGACCGCAGAAAACTGGGTGTCTCCGATGGAAAACAAGGCATCGCCTCGTATTCCCCTCCCGGGCTATCTGACCGGGCTCTGAGTTTTTCAATGTCTTCGCACTGCGTTACGGTTCTGTAAGGTTTCTGTCAGGAGGAAGGGCGACTACAGATCATTTCCTTTCTCTCTCTACCACCGACCCTCCTCGAGGAGGAAATAATACCAGAATGACCCCTCAGGTCTCAGTAAGGGGTCTGATGACAGTACTAAAAATTCTTCCAGAGAAAACTGTCACTCTGGCCACTGACTGCTGACCAGATCAGGGAGGACGAACCCTCTCAGACCTCCTGCTCTGGGATCTCAAAGGAAGCTCCCAGGCACTCATAGGTGCCACAAGATATTCTGAAGGCTCTGGGACCATTTATCAAACCCTGGAGATGGGGCCTTCCTTCTGAACTGAGATAAAACCCACAACCTAACTACACAGCTGGAGATGACCAGGGATATCTGTCCTTCGGGACAACATGAGCAGAGGATTCCCTGCTACGGGGATGCCTACGAGCCCAGAGCAGAGGCTACTTAATTGAACGACACCTTGGAATAAGCTAAAAGCACTCTACTCAGAGACAGAACCTGAGCTCGTTCTTGGCGCAAACGCTGCTAGTAGAGTTTTCTGGAATCGGGTTCTATCGTGTAACATGTGCACGTGTGGGTCACACTAGGGGAAAAGGTTGGTCTCAGTTATCTGTAACTGTGGCGTGTCACAGGTGAGTAAAGAACCCACCCGAACGCACCTACCAAATCCCCTCTCTGCGCCCAGCACTCAGCACCACACACGGAGGCGGAACAGGCACATGGCAGTCCCGGCCTGGGAGGGCTCGCCCCGAGAAAGGGCCACACACGCATGCGGCTAGGCGGCAGGGGCGGTTACGGTCACTCTCAGGAGGTCGAAGTCAGCTAACTAAGGAGGGATCAAGGCAACCCAGAATCCCTAGGGAGGCTTTTCTAAACACCTGGGGCTCGAGTCTCCTGAAGAGGCACTGAGGTCAGGGAGGTGCTGAGAGCAGGGGGCTTGGGGGCGGCAGCCCAGACAGAGGGCTCACAGGAAGCCAGGTCCAGCCTAGACGGAAAGAGCTAAGCCTGAAGGACCAGAAGTTGGCGTAATGGCTATGTCGCTGGACTCCCATGTAGTCGACCACGGTTCGCGTCCCAGACCTGGTGGCTTAACTCACACGCGTGTGCATGCGTGCCCAAGATCCCCAGAGGAGAATGGAGGAGAAGGGATTGTGGCATGGCCATTCCCCCTGGGGGTGATTTCTCGCTTTCTGTCTCTGTCTCTCTCTGTCTGGCAAGTGCACGCACCCTATGGCAAAAACCTCTCCAAAAAAAAAAGAACTAAAATGGGGTTAGATAAGGTTTGGGGGAAGTAGCGGAAAATCAGGTCTGCCTAGGAAAATACGGCTAGACAACGGAAGACTCTGAAACCAGTTATCGGCTAGAGTAGATACGTTTTAGCACAAATGGTTAAATATCTCATGCCAGCTATCCTCCAGCTACACATGGATGAGGTTATAAACAGGTTTAGAAAGAACTGAAAAACTGCACTGTGGGGCCAGCAGGAGACATGGTGGCTAAAGCACTGGACTCCCACATGTTCGAGTCCTATAAATTCGATTCCTAGGTCTGGTGGCTTGAAAATCACACCAGGTACATGTGCCCAAAATCCCAGGAGGAAAATGGAGGAAAAGGGATTGTGGTGTGGCCATTCCCCCAGGGGATGAGTTCTCACTTTCCCTCTCACTGACTCTCGGTCTCTGGCAGACATACAGGTCTATGGCAAAAATCTGAAAAACAAAAACAAAAAGTTGCACCAAACAGCGGAGTGGTGGTTAAGGTTGCCGGACCCCACAGAGCTGACGGCAACTCCAGTCCCACATTCAGATGCTTGAAAAACACTGGGGCACATGTGCATGTGTGCCCAAAATCCCTACAGGAGAATGAAGAGGGGATTACGGAGTGGCCATCTCCCAGAGGGGGATGCTTTTTCACTCTCCCACTGCCGTCTCTTTCTCTGTCTCTCTGTCTCTCTCTAGTGAGTGCACATATGCTCTAGTAAAATTAAGGAAAAAAAAAAAAAAACTAAAAAACAGACAGTGGGAGTGAAATAAATAGCTTTAAATGTAAAAAGTTCTAATCTTCAGGACCAGCAAAGAGTACAATAGCTATGTCACTAGACTCCCACATGGCCAACCGCAGTTCAAGTCCTGAACCCAGAGACTTGAAACTCATGCCTGGGCATGTGTGCGTGTGTGCCCAAAATCCCAACAAGAGAATGGAGGAGAAGGGATTGTAGTATGACTATCCCTCTGGGATGTCTCCCCAATGAGTGCACACATCCTATAGCAAAAATCTCTCTAAAGAGGAAATAAAAAAAAAAAAAAGAGTTCTAATCTTACTGTTAGGTTGTCAGGAAAGTCTTTCTATGCAAAGATGCATCACGACTTTTCCAGCAGCCCGACAGCCCAGACGATATGCTAGAAATGACTCAAGTGCCTCAGTCACCAAGGTTAAGCTGGAAGACGATTCCACAAAAGAGAACATTTTCTGCCTCTGATGCCCAGCCAGGACCACCGAATCTACCTTGGACAGTCTGCACCTTGTGGGCATTGTCAAAGTTGCAGATCTCCTTCCAGTGCGCCTGGACCGCCTCCGGAGTCATTGGCTGATTCTTCTTCCTCACAATGGCGCCCAGGGTCCGCTCCCAGCGCACTGCTCATACAAACAAACACAAGACACAGTTTAAAACAGTGACAGCAAGATGCGTTAGAGGCCCTTTACGTTTTTTTTTTTTTAATTTGAAGAAAAAAAAAATTCTAACTTCTAAAGATTTTTACTCTGTCGTTAAATATATTTTTCTAATAAGCCTAACAAGATAATATAATTTAAAATATAAAAATATTTCAAACTGAAGGGAAACTTCTCCAACTATGCCATTCACTACGAAGACGAGACTGTTATGCTGCGTGTGAAAGGTCAAGTTACAAAATAACCACTCAGCAGACCTCAGGACCACACATCACTCAGGAAATATGAGATATTACAAAATGAAGAAACCAGAAGAGCTTTGCCGAGTAGTAAACTGAGGACTAGCGGTGACCAGAGATCAAAGATATCCATCAACAAAACTTAGTCTGTCGGGGAGCCCTGATAGTTGGCCTCCTTTTTCCTTTGGTACAGGTCAGCTAGAACGTGGAGATTACCACAAATCATTACTGTTGCCTCTGCTCCATTAGGAGAATTTTTAACATTGTGTTCTTTTCAAAAAAACCAGAATTTTAAAAAGCACTAGTGGGCCAGCAAGTAGCGTGGAGGTTCGGCAGCTGGACCCCACACAGCCAGCTGTGTGGTTGGAGTACTGGACTCGGCATCTGGAAAAACACGCTGGGCACGTGTGTGTGCATGCCAAAATCTGAAGAGGAACAGAGGAAAAGACTACAGTGTGGCCATCCCCCTAGGGGAGAGATTTTTCACTCTGCCTCTCTCTAGTGAACACACACCCTATAGTAAACAAACAAAAAAAGCACTAGTAACCTAGTTTAAGCATTAACAGTCAGATTTTGATAACTGTTAAAAGTAAAGATAAGGAGGCCAGCAGGTGGCGTGGGGCAAAAGGTGCTGAATTCCCACATGGTCGACCATGGTTCAAGTTCCGGACCTGGTGGCTTGCTTTCTCCCTTTCTCTCTGTCTCTCTAATCAAATTAAATAATAATAATATAAATATAAATAAATAAGTAAATAAATAATTCTTTAGTAAAATGAAGATCTGTTTCAATGAATGACGAAAATACCGACTTCTAGAGCTGTTCTATTGGTAACTTTCCAGATACAGCTTTTATTGCAACATTTGGCCTTCCTTTGGTAAGTGGATGTCATAGACACTTGAAATGCCTGAGGGCTATAAGTCACTTTAACAACTGGACGGAACGGCCATTATGCTAAAAGTATTACTATTCTACCATGCCCTCCAGTGATGGCAACCTTTTAAATAAGTCAACGATTGGGTGATTAGTTTTGATGCCAGGAGCCAACTGAAAACAAGCTGAGATCATGAAACCTTCACACGATTCCTTAAAACACACACCACAATGCAATATTCAAATTTGGAGCTCAGAAGTTTAAAGAAATGGGGTAAGGAAGCTAAAGCCAAATGAATTCAGTAAACTGAACGGAAGGGACTTCATTCCCTAGACTGTCCCCTCGTGATGACTCGCACTCTGAGGAGAACGAGAATTACAAGACAGCAATGGAGGACGCCCTGCTGTCGGTCTACACTAGAATGGTCTCTTCCTAGCTTTCAGCACAGCTCTCCCTCCCACTCGCTTTCTCTGCTGGCACAGCAAGAACAAGCCCGTGGGATGCAAGAGAGGGTGATTTAAGCACTGGCCAGTAGTTTGGAAAGATAAATATCAATATAAAAAGAGATTTTAGAGTCTAAAGGAAGAGCCAGTTTTCGGTAAGACGGCATGAGTCCTGCCGAAGGGCTCGTGGTGGTCCTGCAGGAAGAACAGACTGATTCTTGAAAGTAGCCAGGTCTGAAGGAAAACTGCCAGGTTTTGAATACCTGTTGCTATAACAATGTTCAAGTTTATAGATACAAGCAGGAAGCAGATCCAGTGATTAGGCATTTGACAAGATCCTCACCAAGATCTAAATGGGTGTGCAGGATATATATATATATATATATAGAGAGAGAGAGAGAGAGAGAGAGAGAGATTATTATTGCCCCCTACTGGACACTGTCTGTGACTACTCACAATCTTTTTCTTTTTTTTTTTTTTTTTTGGAGAGGTTTTTTGTTATAGGGCATGTGCGCTTGCCAGAAAGACAAAGAGAGAGAGAAAGCGAGAAATCACCCCCCAGGGGAGATGGCCACACCGCAATCCCTCCTCCTCCATTCTCCTCTTGGGATCTTGGGCACACACGCACACATGCCCGGCATGAGTTTAAGCTACTGGGTTCAGGACTGGAACCACGGTCGACCACGTGGGAGTCCAGTGATGTAGCTGATCCCTGGCTGTGCAGGTTTAAAGATACGGAAATAATCTATGGCAATCCGAAAACTGATAGACTTACATTTTCCAATCCATCCTGCTCCAACCTAATAAAAAGAACAGAAAAACATGTCACTTAATGTGAAATCACTAACAGGATTTTCCTTTAATTAAAAAAAATTATCTTTCTACAAGCATTAGAATGCTAGACGACAGTGAAAATACAGCTGTCAAAGCCCACTGGCCCCACGACTCTGCCCTGCACACGTTTTCAGAGCAGAGACGTAAAGCAGCACAAAGCAGTAGAGCAGCACATAGCAGACACGACTGCCTCTAACCCAGAGACCAGGGCTCGGCACTAGTCCTACTGCAGCTGTGTCACTGTCACCTTGGCCACATCGTCTGACCTCCTTGAATCTAAGTTTCTTCATATGTAAGGATAATAATACATACTTCGTGTGGTTATGGTGAAGTTTAAACAATATAAATCCATAAACCACCCAGCACATTACAGACTCAAAATGTCCCTATAAAAAGAAGCACTGAATTGGACCAAAAAAAAAAAAAAAACCAACAACAACAACAACAAAAAGCCAGAGGGCAGGACCAGCAGTTAGCGTAATGGCTATGTCGCTGGACTCCCACGTAGTTGACCACAGTTCGCGTCCCGTGGCTTAAAACTCACGCCGGGTGCGTGTGCGTGCGTGCCCAAGATCCCGAGAGGAGAATGGATTGCGGCATGGCCATCCCTCCTGGGGGGGGATTTCTCGCTTTCTGTCTCTCTGTCTCTCTCAGTCTGTCTGGCGAGCACATGTGCCCTATAGTGAAAACCTCTCCAAAAAAAAAAAACCAGAAGGCCAGCTCTGTGGCACAACTGTGAAGCACTACTCAACAGAAGCAGGATCCCACATGGCAACCCTGGCTGGAATCCACCTCCTACCCAGTCAGTCTAAAATATGTTGAGCATGTCTGAGGGCCCAAGACCTAAGAGGCTGGTGAGCTGGAGGAAGCAGACTGCCATGTGACCAGACTCTGTGGAGGGTGCTCATCTCTCTCTGTCTCTCTCTCTTTGTCTCTCCTCCTCTTTCATATGTGTGCATACAGGTTCTATCAGAGAGAGAGAGAGAGAGAGAGAGAGAGAAAGAGAGAGAGAAAAGAAAAGAAAAGAAAAGAAAAGAGGAGAGAGGTCCTAATATATAATAGTTCAGACTAGGAAAGAAAAAAGAAATTCAAATGAGTAATCAAAAGCATATTGGGTCATCAGAAAAATCATGATGTATTTTTCTATGCAAAAATAGTAAGTTGTATTTACTGATCAATTATATAGACCAAATTAAATAAAATACTATTCTGATAAAATTTGGGGCTGCTACGTACTAGGCCCTACGCTAAGGACGTAAAAATATGACTCATAGTTGTCACAACAAACTCCAAAAATACAAAGCTCAGGAAGGTGAACATAAAACATATCCTCAGCAAGACAAGCAATTCATTACCGAGTGAGAACGCAAAACCCGGCCTGGTCAGCTCGAAGCCCAAGCTCTCACCCTTCCTCTGTATCATTCGGCTTCTTAAATCAATGGGACTTTCCATACTCAGCTAACTCGGCAAATCGGCCACATTTTTATTTAGCAAGAATATTTAAAAAGGAGAACCAAGGAAAAACAGAATTTAAAAGTTGCTGTTACTCCCTCAAAATAACCTTAGTCAACACGGGCTCCTTGATTACAACATTACATAACATTAAAAATACACAAGTCATGTCAACTGGTACGGATTTTTACAGATGTAAGCAACTGAAAAAGACTAATTTCGCATCATTTTTTTCCTAATTACGCGAGCACTGCTTTAGGAGAACACCGACGGTGCAGGGTACCTCGAATAAGCCGCCGTTCTCCTCACAGCTCTCATGGCAGAGCCAGAGGACTAGCGGCGCCACGTAGTCAGGCTTCAGGGCTTCCACCAGATCTGAAATCAAAATCGAAAGAAAAGGTTTAAGACAAGAATGTGCATAATAACCAACCATATTACATTCTGAAAACTTCCAATTTATGGGAACCAGCAGTTAGCGTAATGGCTATGTCGCTGGACTCCCACGTAGTTGACCGCAGTTCGCGTCCCGGACCCGGTGGCTTAAAACTCACGCTGGGCGCGTGTGCGAGCGTGCCCAAGATCCCGAGAGGAGAATGGAGGAGAAGGGATTGCGGCGTGACCATCCCCCCTGGGGGGTGATTTCTCGCTTTCTGTCTCCTTGTCTCTCTCTGTCTGGCGAGCACACGTGCCCTATAGCAAAAAACCTCTCAAAAAAAAAAAAAACAAAAAAAACTTCCAATTTGTAAAATAACAGGGACCAGCAGATGGCATAACGGTAACGTCGCTGAACTCCCACATGGACAACTACAGTTCAAATCCCGGACCCAGAGCTTGAAACACACTGGGCATGTTTGTGTGTGTGCCCAAGAGCCCAAGAGGAGAATGGAGAAGGGATGGCAGGGTGGCCAGCCCCCCTGAGGAGTGACTTCCCGCTTTCTGTCTCTCCATCAAGCACATGCACCCTATACCAAAAATGTCTCTTAAAAAAAAAATTACAGGTAATTCAGAGACTTTTAAAATAAGAGCAAAATGATACACACATAACTAACCTAACGTTCCCAGGCTTTCCTGAGAGTGTCCTCGTCCCAGCTGAGACACTCCTGGAATGGTCTCAAGCTTCTACAACTACAGGCACCAGGCACATCACCTTCAAGATGGTGACATACTACTGAGAAAAAGGAGTCAGAACTGGCTACATGAAGACGGGTGAGCAAAACCATATGTAACGTGAGAACCGGGCCAGCCCCATGGTCTAGCGGTTAAGGGAGCCGGGTCCCAGGTAACTGACTGGGTGGTTCAAATCCCAGGACTGGCAACCTGGAGGACAGGCCGGGCACGTATGCACATGTGTCCCAAATCCCACCAGGATGCAGCACGACCACGCCCCCCGGGAGGTGGAGTGCAGGGGTTTTCTCTCTCTCCTGTCTCTCTCTGAACAGTGCACACATCCTCTGGCAAATTAAAAAATAAACAGTAGTGAGAGAGAGAAACTGAGGGACCAGTAATTCCCCAAACCATCTTACCTTCCCAGCTATTTAACTAACGGGGAGAACACTACGAAGCAGGCTTTACAGCGAATGACAGATGACTGAAGTAGGCCTTGGGACGAGCACTAACGACAGCAAAGCTCAGAACTGCTTCTGCTGCGTGCTCCCATGAGCAGCGTGTCAAAGCAGAAAGATACCCTACACACTACACGCGGAGTACGAAGACCTGGCATTTATTCCTGGACCCACCAAGATGGCGACTCAGGGCCTTGAGCACCTCACTCACCTGACCTGCATCTTCTCCTGTAAGCTGGAAATCCAAATGGCATCCCCGCCCATTCTACCATGTTGTTCAAAGGTTCAAGTGAGACACAATTTGTATCTTATAACACCTTATGTATCTTATAATACTTTAAATATTGGGTCACCCGAAAAGTCAACATATTTTTTTCATGTTTTCCTATGCAAAACTGCATCATGACTTTTCCAACGACCTAATACTTTATAATCTTATCTAAAGGCTCGAATAAATGCAAAAATTCAACTGTGACATGACTAAATATAATTTGATATTAATATGCTAAGGTAACAAAAGGTGGCATTTATAGTCCCTATAAATTAAAGAGCGACTCCTAAAACTTTTCACTTCATCACCTCTCAAAGGTCTCAAGCGATCCAGTGGCCCCTTGTTGACAGTTCTCCATTACAGGCATGACGAGAGAACAAGGGTGGACCCAGCCACCTCGATTACGCAATGAAACTCCATTCTTCTCAATACACGGCATTCTAATTTACCATGTATCAGTTGGCAAAACTGAATGCTTACAAATATTTATACATAAGGATCCAGATATATGAGTTGACTAACTCTACACTGAATGCAAAATTACCACATCTATAAAATCCAACTGAGCATTTATCACCTTGGTGAAAAAAATGAAGAAGAAGGAAAAAAAAATGAACATAAGCCACACAGAAAAAATACTTTATTTCACATATTATCGCTAATGCTATCAGCAAATATTCTTGTTTTCTAATTCTTTCTCAAACACAAGTTCAGTCAGCACCTATTAGACTCAATTTTGTAAACTAAAATCTAAAGGGTGGGTGGGTAAATGAAACGTCTGAGATTCCCAAAGCTAGTGAAATGTACAGCTATATAAAATCAAAATTAAGAAGGTTTATTTACTCAGCCAGCGTCTCCTCCAGTGCTGAGTGTCAGGCACCCAGCACTACAGAGAGCAGATATCCTAAGGAACAGTTCTGCTGCCAGAAACTTAGTTTTTTTAAGCATGGCTGGTATAGAGGAGGTATCCCTCAATCAAAAAGAGCTCAAATGAAAGATGAATCAAATCAATAAACCATTAACTAGACTAACCTAGAAAAATAGAGGAAGAAATCAAGTAAATAAAATCAGTAATGAAGCAAGCAATTTTATCATGGCTATCACAGAAATACCAAAGATCACGAGAGAATACTACAAGCGACTGTACACCAGCAAGTAAGAAAAGTCTAGATGAGATTGACAAATTTCTTGACACATAATTTACCTAGACTGAACCAGTAGAAAGCCTGGATAGACCAATAACAAGCAATGAGACTGAGTCAGTACCTAACAGTCCTTCAACAAAGAAAAGCCCAGATCCTGATGGCTTCACTTCTGAATTCTACAAAACACTTAAAGAATTAATGCCAATTCTCCTCAAACTATTGGGTCATAGGAAAAGTCATGACGTATTTTTTCTATGCAAAAATGTGTCATGTTTCCAACAACCCAATATTTCTAAAGATCCTAATGGAAAGAAAGCTCATGAACTCATTCTGAAGCCACTATCATCTTTTCCTTTTAATTATTTTATTTAACTTCATTTATTTATTTTTATTTGACCAGAGAGGGACAAAGCAGGATAGAGAGAGTAGGAAAGTGAGAAAGCAAGCCACCAAGTCTAGGACTCGAACCATGGTCAGCCACGTAGGAGTCCAGCATCCTTAACCGCATGCCACTTGCCAGCCCCAACCTCCATCATCTTGATAACAAAAGCAGACAAGGACATAACCAAAAACAAGAAAAGAAAAATCTACAGACCAATATACCTGATGAATATTGATACAAAACTCATCAAAAAAATCCTAGCAAATGGAACCCAACCGTACATTACAAAGATTATATACCATGACCAAGTAAACTTTATCCCAGTGCAAAGATGGTTCGCCATATGCAGAATATAAAGGTAACACATCGCAGTAACAGAAAGATAGATTAAAAAAAAGAAATGATAATAACTGATGCAGAAGTAGTCTTTGACAACATACAACATCTCTTTATAATTAAGACTCTCAACAAAATAACCATAGAGGATGTATTTTTCAATAACATAAAAGCTACCTATGACAAATCCATAGCTAATATCATAGTGAATGAAGAGAAACTAAAAGCTTTCTCACTAAAACTAGAGAAAGAGGTTATCCACCTTCTCCATTCCCTTTCAATATAGTTCTGGAAGCCCCAGTAAACACAATCAAATAAGTGGTTAAAATAAAAAGCATTCAAATAGGAAAGGAAGAAGTGAAATTGTCCCTATTTGCAGACAACATGATCATAAACACAGAAAATCTAAAAGAATCCCTGAAAAAACTCCTAGAAGTGATAAATGAATTCAATAAAGTGGTAGAATACAAAATCAAGATACAAAAATATACAATGGGAGCAGCAGGTGGCATGGTGGTTAAGATACTGTACTCCCACATGGCCGACTGCAGTTCAAGTCCTGGACTCAGTGACATGAAAATCACACCAAATGCCTATGCACACATGCCCCACTCCCAAGAGGAGAATAGAGGAGGGACTGAGGTCTGGCCATTAACCCTGGGTGGAGGGGGGGGTGATCTCTCACTTTCCCTCTCACTGTCTCTCTCTCTCTGTCTCTCTCCAGACAGTGCACATGCCCTATGGCAAAAGCCTTAGGAAAAAAAAACACAGAAGAAGAAGAAACTACAGCACTTTTATATACCAACAATGAACAGGCTGAGGCAAAACTAAAGAAAGCAATCTTATTTACGATAGCCACAAAACAAAACATAAGACCTAAGAACAAACTTAACTAAAGAGGTGAAAGACCCCTACAAGGAAAACTATGAAAAAGTTAAAAAAAATTAATTATAATACAAAAACTTGAAAGATAGCACTTGTTCTTGGATTGGAAGAACCAACAACTGATGACCTACTCAGCCATAAAGAAGAGCAAGACTCTGATATTTGACACAAAGTAGATGAATACAGAACACTTAATGCTAAGTGAGCAGGCCAGACAGTGAAAGACAGACACCTGCTCAGTACACACCGGAGGTATACACACTGTGCAGAAAGTTCTGAAGCTGTGATAGGAGGGAGGGCAAGTATGGATACCAGGGACTGTGTAGAGCACAGGTAGGTCATGAAGGTGGGGATCAGGAATAAAGCATTTAACAGACACAGAAATGAAAGGTTCTTTGCGTATGGTAATATACTTGATTTGATTATCATAAGTTGCATGTATACTTTGAAAAACCATACCATGCACCATAAAGTTGTGCATTTCAATGTAAATAAAAAGTTATAAAATAAAAATAATTGGACATAAACACATTTTCAAAAGAAAGAAATGGAGGCCTCTTGGCCACTGCCATGGGCATGAATGAGCTTAAAAGTAGACTCTCCAACCCAGCCAAGCTTTCAAATGGCTGAAGCACCAGTGAACACCTTGATTAAAACCTCACAGGGACCAGCAGTTGGCGTAATGGCTACTTTGCTGGACTCTCGTGTAGTCAAATATGGTTCGAGTCCTGGACCTGGTGGCTTATACTCATGCCAGGAGCATGTGTGTACGTGCCCAAGATCCCAAGGAGAAT